AATATGTCAAATTTGGCCTCCAAATGGAATCATATTATATTAGACGAATTCCAGCTGGGTAGCCAGATAGCAAGTTTTCAAGTGCAATTTGTCTCTGTGAAGTGAATGTGGCAGGTTTGAGTTTGGTATCATGTCTTCATTATACATCAAAGGCAAGTTTAATTTATATTTGTTCTCTGCCACACACTATTTTTATTTTTAAAACTATTATTTTTATTTTTAAAACTATTTATGTAAATCACATGTTTCACAATGTACAGATAAAATATATATATATATATAGTACTATTTCAGTTTGGAATTTCAATAAAATTATAATAAACAAATGGCTTCAATTCGATTAGAAATACATGAAAATACTACGGTCTCGTTACAGAGTCATTCAGTCGAGGTTTGTAACCATTCGATTCATCAAGATTGTCGGTCGAACTGCCTCGTCTTGATCGCTCGTACCACAAACCAGATCAACTCGTAAAAGCGTCGATGGTGGGACCTCGACGTAGACAGTCTAACACTCAAGTAAGAAAACTTATATCTCAAATGCACTGTAATTGAGAAACTTATTTAGAGTTTACGTAACAAATTGAACCTCCGAACCTTTGTTTATAAAAGGATTAATAACTTAATTAAGGATATCGATTGACGTAACAAATTGGGATATCGATTGATTTAATACGAGAAATCCTTAATTAAAGGAAGACCAATTTGTTTAGATGAGGTAGATAACGATAATTTTAATCTCAGGCTCTGAAAACAGAAATGCTATAATTAATGTGGGAATAATTCAGTATTTGTTTTAGCATAAAATGTGTCTTTTTTTTTTTTTTTAAAGATTTCTTCTTTTATTATCCGTTTCAACTTTTAGTTACATGATACATATATATCAATATTCAGTTACAATCAATTAATTAGCGGACACTTTAATAGTAAAGAGACATTATACTATAAGATTACTATTCGAATGCATAATCGTATAAAGATTTTTCGTTTAACTTTTTTCCAAACTTGTATACAACTTCATTTCATAATGAGGTAATTAATGAGGTGTAAACGAGCCGAGCCGGATTCAAACCCATGGGCGAATTTACATTAGGGGGGCAATTGCCCCCCCACCTCAAATTTTGATTTTTTATACTATTAATATTAAAAATTTTATTTGCCTCATTTAAATTTATTTTTGCACCCCCATATTTTTTTTGAATGTCTACAATTGTCAATTAGCAATTCAACACTTTTTTATTTTACTATAAATTTTGTATAGTAATTATTATCATTCTACAGTTTTAATTGGGCCATATATATAAAAAGACTTCGACTCTCTTTTATTGCCCTGAAAACTAGAAACTAACCTAACCGATGAGAAAATAAACTGAACCGAGCTGACTTATGTGTAACGGTAACTGAAAATCGATTACCGGAATGTTATCAGTTCGGTATTGCTCATGAACCCAATATGTCATGTCTTTTGCCCCCTCTCAATCAATTTTCTGGTTTCGCCCCTGATTCGACCTCGTGATAGTCGAGCTCGAGTCTTTATTAAGTCGAACGTTATCATAATGAGCTCGAGGTCTATCCATTTATCATTATTAACGAGTCGAACTCAAGCCTTATAACTAAATATTTAACGAGTGAAACTATATAAAGTTACATAAAAATTATTTCCGACCTTAAATGCAACGAGCCGAGTTGAGTTTGTTAACTAAATATATTGACTTGAGCTCGAACTCAACTCATTTATCAAACGAGCCGAACTGAACTTACGAACGAGTAGCTCATTTCATTTAATATTCAATAAATCCTACTTGTTTCATAGAGTTCCTATCAATTGCTTTCAAGTTTGGTGGGTCATATATATAATTGTATAGATGAATTTAAGATTAGAACTCGAAATTTCCAATTTTGAAAGATGAGAAGCACAAAACCCACTACCCATAAAGAGAAGGAAAAAATTTGAAAAAAAAAACATGGCCACGAATTAGAAAATAAAGTAATAAAGACAATAATAATTGTTAGTTGGATTGAAATAAATGTCTTTACCAATACTATGGTTAGAGATTCTCATATGATCTCAGAACAGTAAGCACGCTGTCCTAATATGAAAAAAAATAGCAAAAAGTTAAATAAAAAAACCCGATTAAACAAAGACTACCCGATTAAAAAAACGGGTAGTCTTTGTTTAATTGGTTTTTTTTATTTAACTTTTTGTTTTTTGTTTTTTTTTTCCTCTGAAATCCAAAAAAGGGCGCGCATATGTATTAATTACCTGTCAACTGTATCATTCAATTTCTCAATTAATGCCATTTTCTTAGTTGTGTTGTCTGTGAAATTTAATACACAACCCTCCTCCACAGAAAAAAAA